GTTGCTCCTTCGGTCTTTCCTTGTCCGTTGGGTTTTGTGCCTTTGATCCATGTGGGATCCTTCGTCACATCATCGTTTGATGTGAGCCAGACGTCGCTGCCCATTTGGTCGAGGTTGGATGTAGTCAAAGGTTTTGAAGGGCCAGGAACTTCATTGAAGTTTACGCGGGGAGTCGTGTTATCCAGGAATGTTTGTATATCGGTAGGAAAATAGGTATCCTCTGAGTGAAGGTAGACGATTGGCGCTAAATATGTATTAGTTAGTCCTGCTACACAGCATTTGACAAATCAAGGGTGTTGGGGTATCAAGATTGCTTACCGTATTTGAGTACATAATCTGGGACCCCATTTGGTGTCTGCCTCTCCTGCAATGTAAGTGGCGCGCAGTTGGCCAGAGGCACAACCACCATAGTCAAAGCAACGAGCGATCTGAAAGCCATCGTGCCGACTTTTGAGTGTATGGCTAGGGTAGTAGATGCAAACAGAATCAGTGTCGGATTGCGCGTAGAAGCCGTCTCATGAATTAACGATTTCTTATACCAACGCCTACACCCAGCTGACTACCAACTCACCTCCCTCAGCTGCCACCAAACGAACCATTTACCCACTCATTCTCCTTCCCCATCAGTCGCATCCTAGCGACATTTCGTTTGTGCATGGCAGACATACCCTCACTAATTCGCCTATATACCCGAATGGTAATCACCTGCCCCTGCCAATAGTCGGGAAAGCCGGCACACGTGCGAACATGTTTGATGGGTGACCAAAAGGAACGTTCGAATTAGTTGGAGTTGACAGCGGGTGTGGCTTGGATGATTGGTTGTCGGGCGCTAGGGCCCTGATAGCGAGCCGGTCGTAGCGATCCGCGTGGCAGGGATGCACTGAGTTGATAGGGTGAAGGCTAAAGTGATCTGCGTCTGAAACATGATGTTCAGGTGTCAAGGCCATTACTGGTGAGCATGCAAGTGCGATAAGTTGCGATGGCGAGACTGATGCAGGAGTCGTGAGGGGTGTTGCATAGGATTGCTCGTAAGCACTTGGCTGAACATGCAGACGAAGGTCCTGTCCAAAACCATTCTCATATCTTACACCTGGCTCCTAGAATACAAAGGTTCGCGCGTACTTGCGATCCATCTCAGCGTACTCCTCCTTGAGCATTTTACTTCTGAGCTTGTTCAACCGAAGTATCACACCCTCTTCTTCACCCTCCAAGTCTTCTACTTTCTCATCCAAGTCCTTCGTGCCCTTGACCTTCCACACTAGTCCCTGCAGACCCCCGCTCTTCGCGTGATCGCGTTTTTCGCGTGCCTCAGCAGCCAGGTATGTCATGATCTTCCCCCATGACTCAAGACCAACTTCTTCGCACTTTTCGCACTTCTTGCGGAGGTCGTCGTTTGCACGTATAGGTTCAAGGGATTGCGCAAGCTTGGAAGTGGAAACAGCGTCACGCACCCAAGAGAGTCCTTGTTGGCGCTGGCCAGATGAGCTGCCAGCTGTCGCAAAAAGGATCTCGCCTATGTAGTTCTTCAAGGCAGCCTCTTCGCAACGATCGCTTTCCTTCCGGAGAAGTGGTTCGTCACCAGAAGCTGGCACATCTGGGTAGTCGGGTTCGCGCAGCAAGCTGAATAGAGTGCCGGCAAGTGTGTTGTCTTTCTTAGACTGTGCCAGAGGGACACGCTCCTCCTCCGCTTCGATGCGAGCACGAAGCAAGGATATGAATATCGGAAGCGCAGATGTGACTCTTCGTTGCTCTGCTAAGAATGTGGCCAAGTTCGTCGCGGCATAAACAATGTTTGGTGTTATTGCTTCTCTCGGCGCTGTGGATGAAAGAATGCCACTGTCGCGATCGATGACCGCCGACGGCTCAGATGTCGGCAGACCTGCAATCGCGATGTCGAGTGCCCACCTATACATCTCCTCTGCAGAATCTGGAAGCTTTCTGAAGCTGAGCCAGTCTGCGTAGCTTAATGCAGCTGATAGCCGCTGGTATGTGGTGAAGCCTTTCGAGGTGATTATCTTGAGGTAAAACGTCTCTGGCGCTTCCGCTGCGGGTGTGCGATGCTCCTCATCTGGCGGCTCGGGCATACCAGGGAGAACAGCCTTCGGTCGTGGATTCGAGGGTGACTGAATGAACTCTGGTGCCCATACATTTCTCCTCCACTTGTCCGTTACCCATCCGTCTAGTCTTTCCGCGGCATTGCCCATGCCCATTAGGACTTCATAGTACCCTTGCCGCCACTCCTCGCTTTTTGCTGTCAAGTCGAAACCTGCCTTGCCTAGGCCGGGCACTAGTATCCCTCCTTCCTCCTGATCCATCAAGCCCGCTCCATCCTTGTCCGGGTTCTCCAGTCGATTCAGCGCATATTCCAGCTCTGAGTAAACCCGCGCCCAGTTGGGGAATCCCTCTTCCTCGTTGTTCTCAGGCACCTGCCACCACTTTCCTCTCCTGAACCTGAACCTCGTGATCAGACTCCACTCATGGGGCGACGGAAAGGCCCGCTCTTGTTGCTCGCTCAATATGCCCAGACTCGCAATACTGACGCATGATGAGAGGAGAAAGATGAGAATGCTGTACCGCACACTCAATTTTGCTGTCTCTTTAATGAATTTCTTGTGGTTTGCGCTAATGGAGAAGAGACGTTGTAGTTGGCCATTGGAAAGGTGCTGGCCGGAGGGGTACAAGAACGGTAGTTGTGGCCGCGGCGAGCCTTGGTGCGCGACGAGGAATTGGCGGGGGTGTTTGTACGAAAACTGGCGTGGACATGGACGGTCGGAGGAGCGTGTTGTCGGAGGCCTCAGTGAGCCCTGTGGAAGCTTGGTTCGATGCGCCGGTGGCCGCATTATGGCTTGCGGCCAAAATACTGGTGCTCAAGGTGCGCGTTCCATCTGTGGTTTCACGCGCCAAGATAACCCTACTTTGACCGCCCTGGCAGAAAAGTTGAGAATCTCCATTCTCGTTTCGCGACGCTCCTACCTATCTACAACATTTTTGCGCGCCCACCATGTCCAAGTCTAAGATTGATACCCCCGAGAAGAAGCGCAAGCGCGACGCCGAGGTTGCAGAAGATGCACCAAAGAAGTCCAAAAAATCCAAGAAAGCCGACAATGTCGAGGATGCGCCAGTCGATGCGACCGAGGTGAAGAAGGAAAAGAAGGACAAAAAGGATAAGAAGTCCAAGAAGTCTAAGGACAATGTCGACACATCTGCTATCGACGACGCATTGGAAGATGCAAAGAAGGACAAGAAGGAAAAGAAATCCAAGAAGTCCAAGAAGTCCAAGGATGCCGATGCCTCTGAGGACGCGCCTGAGGCTGAGCTTATCGAGGAGATGAAATCTTCTGAGAACTTCATCAGTGTCAACGACGATGAGCCGATGCCCGATGCCACCGAAGACGCGCCTGCGAAGAAGGAAAAGAAGTCAAAGAAGGATAAGAAAGACAAGAAATCCAAGAAGAGCAAGGATGCTGCCACTTCCGAGGACACGCCTATGGAAGACGCAGCTGAAGACGCCTCGGCAGAAACCAACGGAGTAGATGCCGAGTCCAAGGCTGAGAAGAAGGAAAAGAAAAAGGACAAGAAGGAGAAGAAGGACAAAAAAGAAAAGAAGGCAAAGAAGGCAGCGGAAGCAGCGACCAATGGAGAAACCTCGGCTGAGGAGCCCCAGGCTGAGGCCAATGGTGACGCCGCTGCAGAAAGCGCTGAAGTAGAAGTCGAGGGTGGTGAGGAGAGGGAGATAGAGGGAGAGGAAGCCCAAGCCGCAATTGAGGCTAACAAGGGCCGTTTCATCGTCTTTGTCGGTACGTCTTGTGTATGATCCACCTATCACGACCTATCTAACGCGAGCTACCAGGCAACCTTCCCTACAGCGCTACGAAAGAGCAGATCGAGAAGCATTTCGAAAAGATCAAGCCCACCGAAGTCCGTCTCCGTACATACAAGGGCACAGAGAAGTTCATGGGCACGTGCTTCATCGAATTCGACCGCTACGACCGTATGGTGACGTGCTTGAAGAAGTACCACCACTCAGTCTTCCCAGACCCCAAGAAGAAGGAGGGCAGGAAGATCAACGTCGAGCTGAGGTAAGATTCCATTCGCGCATTCATTTCCCGCCACTATCACAATTCCGAAAGACCACCATACGAGAGATGAAGACACATACTAACTCCATATTACAGCGCAGGAGGTGGCGGCAACAGCGAAGCCCGCAAAACGAAGATCGCAGCGAAGAACGAGAAACTGCATGACGAGCGTGCCCGCGACCGTGTTAAGAAGACTGAAGTCGAAATGAAGCAGAGCGAGCGCAAGCAGAAGAAGGAAGCCAAGTCAGGCAAGAAGGGTGGTGACGATGCAGAGGCCGCCGAGCCGGAGCAACCCGACGAGGCTACTACCTTTGGCATGAACCCTGCGCGTTTGGCTATGATGCAGGGGCCTGAGCGACCCCAGCACAGGTCAAGATATTAAGGGATGGTTTGGTTGGAATTTATGAGTCGAGGGGTTCACGTTTGAGTTGATTTGCTTAGAAATCTGTTTGTTGGCTATATTAGTGGACTTGTACACGAATTGGGTTCGCGGCTTGACCTCGTCTCATGATACCATAGTTGTAGACTTTCGGAAAACGTCGAACTTATAATACTACAAGATACACGCAGCTGCAAACAGGGAAACAAAGTGCTGGAGGCAAGCAGGCATTGCGATCAAAACACAGTGTGACTCTACAACGTTGTGCCTACATGCTAGCACCAGCACGCTGATCGAATCATCAATGTTGCAAGATGGTCTTGTGCAACCGCTTTGAGTTCAAATCATAAATTTTTAATCATGCAGCTCTATTGCTGGGTAAAATGGTAGTCTAAAGGAGTGACAAAGAATTGAAAGGTGACGTGATTCCACCTCTATTAACAACGTTGCAATCATGAGGAGCGATACATGTCTGGACTTTTGTGTGGCCATCGATCCCGTAGGCCTCAGTGCTAGCTTCCGCTATACTGTAGTTTCCCGGCTTAGTAGCCACCGCCGTAGCCCTCCTTAGTGGTGCAGACTGTGGTCGTGCCAGTAGACATGTAAGTGGTTGGCTTCTTCGCAGTTTCCGTAATGACGGCCGTAGCGGTCTTGGAGGATGTAATGGTCTCCTTAGCAGTGGAGACGCTAGTCTTGTAGGAAGTAGCGGTGGAGCTATGCAAATGTGAGCCAGAAGATCATCTTGGGCGAGGGTAGATTGACACTTACACAAATGGCACAGTCTCGCACTTGGTAGACGACTTGACTTCGCTTTCCACAACGGTGTTGTAGATGGTTGTCACAGTCGAGTAGGTTTTGGTGTCAAAGTGGGTAGTGTAGTCGGTCAGAGTCTTCGTGCTAGCACCAGTAGTGGTGTATGGGCAGGGCTCCGTAGTAGTGTGGAGCTTCTCGGTGACAGTGGTGACCGGGACGACTTCAGTCTTGGTAGACAACCAGGTAGTTTCGTACTCCCCGACACTAGAGGTGGTCCATGCAGCTATGAAGAGTTAATTCAAGACCATACAAAGCGGCGTTGGCATACATACATGCAGTGCAGGTTCCAGTCTCCTTCTCAGGGGGAGGAGCCTCATATCCGGAAGACTTAGCCGGTTGACCATAGCCGGGCAAAGCAGCAACCAGGGAAGCCGAAGCAACGAGGGTGACGAGGTTGTTGAAGAGCATTTTTGGCTAGAGATGAGAGTGATCTGGGCCGTGGGAAAGCGAGTGACGGTGTGTATAGATCTGAAGGAATGGACTATCGGATAGATCGTTGTAGACGCTGAAGGCTGATGATGATTTCGAAGGGGATCATAGATTCGCTTTATAGTTGAGCCCAGCTTATCAAAGCTCGTATCTCCAGTGTATCATCTCGCGTTTCTTGTTGAGCGTTGGGCCAAAGAAGCAATGTCGTTCTCCCGCAGCATCCGGGTGATCGACAACGCGATCCGCAGTGCCTTGTACATCTCACAGTATGGCTTAGAGAGATAGGCACTGCGGAGAATGTACTGCATGAAAACTAAGAAGAGACAGGAATAGGCCAAGCATGCTGATGCGGGCCTAGATCACGTCGTGCCATGGGAGTATACATGCATGCAGTCAGGACTCCACCATGATCTTTTAGCCCCCCGGTTGCGAGGACTACCAGTGCCAACATACTTGTTATGCATGCGTAAGCTTTGAAAACTTCTCTTAATGCGATAGACATCGAAATGCATCCCAGAGCGTTATGCGGTATGGAATGAACAATGACGAAGAAAAAAGTAGCCTGTTTCAGGGGATCAAACGGCCTGTGAGTATTTTTGTGACATGATTGTACAATAGAGTATACAGCAGTATCTTGAGAGATTCCACGAAGGAGTGCGTGATTAGAGAAACATGCCATACGTCATGCATGTTTGTCTGGTATGTTTACTCATAGTTCCATGTAAGAATCCCAGGAGCCCGGAATCCGTTGTAGTGGCTGCAGTGGCTGAACGACATGGAACCGTAGGCTGAGTCCCTCGCTCTTGATTGGAAGCTAGCGACTAGTTCGACGGAATATTCCTAGTGATGATCACTGCAGCGCTGCAGTTCAACATCGAGTCGTCTTGTCATCCAGATTCATTGTGGGGAATGATGCGTGGTACGATGCACGTGCGGCTGGAGCAATTCCGAATTCTCGATCGACGTTGTTGTTCGACAGCTAGCAATCTACGCGTCGGGTTGAGTGCGTTGTGCAGATGAGAGCTTGTTTGTAGATGGCAGGGAGATGTTGTGATGCACGACGAGGGTCCAGCCATTGTGGGGTTTCTGGGCGCACGGCCCGAGACCCACCGACCGCGGCTTCCATCACAACTTTTTTGTGATGCCCGCTGGCGAACACATCGCCTCTGCCATTGCTTCACGACCCCACCTCTCTGGCTAACAACTCAACCGTTCCGGGTATCTTCGCCATACCACCTCGATTGTACGACGATCGGCAAGCGCAAATTCTAGCTCTTCGTCAGCAGAGACACGCTCGGGGGTCCGCAACGAATTCGATATGCGACGCTAGTCCTGCAGTCACACGATAGATCGCCCCAGATTACTTGCAGCACGACTGTAGTAGTTGACGTGAACTCTCCAGAAGACTCCGATCTCGAGAACGATGAGCCAACCAGCAGCTGCGCCGGCCAAACCGCCTGCACGGGCGGCTGAACGCGCGTACGAAGGCACACCTGTCACATCTCCACGATCGTTACGCCAACTTTCGATATACTTCCTTGGGAGCGCCTGCCTACTGGCATCAACTGCAATAACGCGGAAGGCTGTATGGAGACGGCAGCTTCGTGTTATGCCAAAGTTTTATGAAGCGAACACGAACCCGCACGAATACTTTAGTCCCTTCTCAGATGCCTGTCAGGCTCTGAACCTGGCAACGATGAACTGTGCCAGCGTCGGAATTATGGCACTAGGTGGTGCAATGTGGACCTTTGATATTGCCAACCTGAGAGAAGCTCGGGCAGTTCTACGGAGCCGCTTGAATTACGACCGAATCTACGAATCTGAAGATGATGTACCAAATAGCATCAGTGAGATGATAATAGCCTCCGGTCAGATGCGAATAATAGAGGAGGACGAGAAGGATGATTCTAAGAAGAACCAATAACGACTGTAGACGTGTACGAGTACGATTGTAAGAATAGTGTATGCAATGAAAAGGCTGAGGGCACTACCAGCCGCGCATGGTAACACAGCTGCGGTAATCTCTCAACGCCTCATCGGATGAGCATTCGCACCCAAGGCACAGCATCCCAAGCCTAATGAACTACTCCGCCTCATGCCAAGTCGAGATTTTTCTGTAATATCAACGTGTCGTAGATCATATAGGCTGTTGGTGTTAATGCGTCACATGCAGACTGCCGCGCTGGAATGTGGAGGATGAACGCGCCATCCTTCGATCCAGCTATATGAAAGATACCCGGTTAATCGCTTGGGAGATGGGCGTTCAACGACTCCGAATTGCTTTCGGGTCGGTCCAGAGCTCAATAGGAGGGGTACACAGACATGTCTCACAGTATTGGCTGAATGTGACATCGATGAGGGATGTCTCACTTCCAACATCCAGTCACTCAGCCATGTCTCGGCTAAAGCGGGTTTTGATGGGCGATTTTCGCGAGGCTTTGGAATTTGTGCTACTTGACTGCTGCTTGTTTTGACATCACATTGGTGCCTAGAGCCATAACCCTGGTACACAATGGTCTACGAATAGCTTTCTTCTAGTACAAGATTGGAACAGCTGCATGCTGCACACATGCAAGTTCACGTGTTCAAGTAGCTCCGTACTCGATCAACATGACGAGTGAATACATTTGTGCTCATGTCCACGACTTATGTCGTCAGCGCAAAGATAGGAACACTGGCTCAAACAAGTGCTTTTCCATTGTAATCGTGCACCATAAGCTTACATGGCTTACTCTTTCACTAAGCTTCATCATCCTGGGGCTGAAAACCCATCACCTTAACGCACCATTTTAAGGTTGATTGCTCAGCGCGACTTGTTGTATATCTTACCACCCACCCAACGGATGTCGCCCACTTGGCAGGTAGTATCACAGGATGATCCATAAAAGTTCAGCAATCGGCATATTTCCAGGTTTCAAGAGTCCATTTGGGGATGGCATCCGACTTAACGTTCTCTTCATCATGAAGGCTTTCCATCTTCCACCTTGACACCTTTTTGCCCGTCTCTATTCGCTCTCCAAACACCCTCACCCCCCTCAAACCTCTCGAGCTTCCAGATTTCAGCTTTATCCTTCGTCTCCTCCAATGCTTCCTCACCAGCTCTCCATGCCGCCTGGCGGTGCGGTGACGATACTGCAATGACAATGCTCTCCTCGCCAATTGGACATTCACCCAACTTATGAATGATGGCGATCTTAGTGCATGAATGTTTTGTGAGGATTGATGTAGCGATTTTAAAGAGTGTGTTGATGGCAAGGGGAGCGTAAGAAGTGTAGGCCAAAGATGAAACAGGCTCGTTGTTAAAAGAGTCGCGAGTCGTGCCTATGAACAGGACGGTTGCGCCTGCGGATGGAGAGCGGACAAATCTTGTTGCTGACAAGGAGTCTAGATCGTGCGGAGTGAGTTCGACATGGATGGTGTCTGTGGTCTTGGTCACAGGGTCTGACGGTATGTCCGGATTGTAAGATTGAGATTCTGTGGTTGCCATGTTGGTGAGAGACCGGCGCTATATGCCTAGGTGTTGTAGGATGATTAGCTTGTACCCTTTCAGAATCTATATCAATGCGCTACAATATACCTAGGTAGAGCAGGAAGATACAACCCCCACCATTGCCGGTTGACTTCTGCCGCGCCATAGATACCGAGCTGTGTATAGGATTCACTTACTTTTAGCGAACTTGTTATACTAGCACAATCTCAGGATTTTCGGGATGTCGACTTCGAGTGTACTGGTCCCTGCCAAAAACGTGCTGGTGAAATGTCGAAGATGCCGTCATAGCGATAGCAGCGCGGGACATTATCTTAGCGCCGATCAACGACCTGCATCCTCACACGTGGAGCGTTAACTCCGGCCCCGCTCATACCATAGCTCTAGCTCGCGTCGAATGACTGCTTTCACTGCGAGCCAAGTCCGAGGTTACTAGTCTTTGTGAACACCTTATTGCCTTATTGCCTGAGTCCTCTGACTAGACATTCGCGCAACGTACACGAACGGGCCCCTGCATTCCTTCTATAGCCGCCAACGTCATTCGCTCCCCTGCCTGTCTCGACGCGCCGTGTTAGCCGAATACCTCTCGACCTACATTCCAACACATACACGAAACCGCCTTCTATCCACGAACGAACGAAAGCCCTCGCGAACTTATATATATGGCGAGGGATGGTCCACAATACAGCATAAGACATAACCCAAGATGAGCGGGGACTGGGGGTATGGAGCCGTATTCAAGATATTCGTATGGGGCTACCTCGTGGGAGGGCTGACCCTTCTGCCCGCTGTACTTGTGGCCGTCTGGTATCTGGGAACCAGCCCTGTTGGACAGGAAAGCATCACCGCCAATACACAGGACGGGACAGCTTCAGGACAACGTAGGAAGTCGAATGGATCCACACACGGGAAGGACAGCGATAACGTGCATCTGGGTGTGGGCATAGATGATGAGATACTGGAGAAGCTAAAGGGCAGGACTCACGAGCCGGACGCATGTGCTGGATACTTCGCAGTATGCCGAGAGTACGTGCCAGGGGGTGTCAATGGCAAACCCCCAGATCGAACAACGCCAGCCGGGGCTGTAGTAGCCGTGGAAAGCCCAAGCGTATATCAATCCATATACAGAGGCATATTTGACAGAAACAAGACCACGAGTCCTTCGATAGAAGCAACGAATGCAAAGAACAAAAAGGCCCGCAACGTCTTCTATGTTGTCTTACGGTATGTTTATGCATCCCAAACACGGGAAATCGGACTAATGTAGAGCAGCCTTGGACACCTGATGCTATACGATAACGAGGATCAGCTTGAAGTACGACACGTCATATCGCTTGCGCATTACAAAGTAGATATATATGGAGGTGGAGAGCGCATACCAGAGGGCGAGCTATGGATCAAGCGAAACTGTATGCCTTTACACTAGGATCTATGATTCTGTAATACTGATATATCCAGGCATTCGACTAATCCGGCAGCTGGACAATAACGGCACGGACGCGGCGAAAGGCTTCTATTTGTTCTCTGACAACTGCTCTGAGAAGGAAGACTTTTACCACGCAATGCTAAACGCTCAGGAAAATCAGAAAGACCCCACGGATACAGACCATCCCTTTGTTCCACTCAAATTCGACACACCCGATCTTGTCAAGCTAGTACAGCAGTTACATGCCTCGGAAGAGAACCTCCATACTCGCTGGATCAATGCGCTGATTGGCAGAGTGTTCCTGGCTCTATACAAGACCTCGCAAGTCAAAGACTTTATCGCGAGTAAGATCAACAAGAAGATCGCGCGCGTCCCGAAGCCGGCTATTATTAGCAGTGTACAGCTACGCAAGGTCGACATGGGCACCCTCCCGCCTTTTATCACGAATCCCAAGCTCAAAGAGCTGACTGTCGATGGTGATCTTGTTGTGGAGGCAGATGTTAGCTACAAAGGAAACTTCCGCATTGAAATTTCAGCTACCGTTCGGATCGATCTGGGGACTCGATTCAAAGCTCGCGAGGTGACACTCGTGTTGGCTACTGTGTTAAAGAGGCTTGATGGTCATATTCTCATCAGAGTGAAACCTCCACCTAGTAACAGACTCTGGATGACGTTTGAGACACCGCCTAAGATGGAGTTCTCGCTTGAGCCAATCGTGAGTTCGCGTCAGATTACATATGGCGTTGTTCTCAGGGCTATCGAGGGTCGCATACGAGAAGTGGTGAACGAGACGTTGGTGTTGCCTAATTGGGATGACATGCCGTTTACCGATACTATCGCGCAGATCATAAGAGGCGGTATCTGGGAAGACAGTGCAAAGGATGACGAGGAAGATACAGACAAGATCAAGCAGGATGAAGCCACACTTGAGACCGCGATTTCGGATGCTGAGAAGCTTGATGAAAAGGCCGACTTGGCAAGTGCGCACTTCTCTATTGCATCAAGCGTTGACTCGGAAGAGGTTGGCACTGGTATATCTTCCTCGACGGATCACAAGTCTTCATCTTCGTCAGTGAGACCGCGGGCGATGCGGTCCTCATCGTCTGTCGCTCAGGTGAAAATTGACTCGTCGAATGCTTCTGCTGAGATTGCACATGACCGCACCATGACACCGACAAGTGTAAAATCACTTCCTGTCACATCGCCTACGAAGTCGCCCGTACGACCCAAGAGCGCGCGCAAGACAACGGAGTCATCAGAGAGTTCCTTAGAGGACACTTCTGCTGCATCAATATATGCAGAAAGCACTGCATCTGCACCGGTCCCAACCACAGAGCATTCGCGAACCAGGTCGAAAGAGCTAACCGCACAAGAGATCGCTGCAGCCGCCGCCGCAGCAGCAGGAGCAAACAATATGGCGACGAAGAAACAAACGATCAATCAGTCCCTCAACTCCGCCACAGCAGCGGCCAGGAACTGGCTCGCAGCCAAGCAGAACACCAAGCCCAACGCCAATACCAATAATAGACCACCGACATCTGAAGGCCCAAACCCAGATCATGACTCGTCGTCGTCGTCGTCTTTGGATGCCCGTCCGCAACTTCAGTCAAACCCCTCGATCTCCAAATCCCATACAGAACCCATGGGCAGAGGCCAACCCCTCCCACCCCCGGGCACACCTCTCCCGCACCCTAAAAACGAGAAGAGACAGACCTGGGCCATCCCCGCCGCTGCCTCAAACACATTTGCTAATCTCACAAAACGGAAACCCGTCGCCCCTACTACCAACTCGCCTGTCGTTTCCAGCAAGAGATCAGTGGAGGACTTCATTGATAGCCCCAAAACACCGCTAAGTACAGCTTCCTTGGGTACGGCCTCCCTCCTACCAGCCGCGCATTTCCCAGACCAGGACGCTAGGACTGGCGGTGGTAACAATGCTGGAGAAGAAAACGATGGGGAGGATGTCTTCCGTGAGATGCGCAGAAGGAAGAGCAGTGCTGCTAGTAACGAACTAGCAACGCCGCCTCCACCGTTACCGAAACGCAGACAGAGACAACCAAGCTTGAATCTTAGTGCGCATCAGAGGCGGGCGAGTCAGAATCAGAACCTGCAGCCTTTTGGCATGGGAGAGGAGTTGCTTGTCGTTGAGGCGCCGGTTATCGATGGGAAGGATGATGAGGGGAGTAGGGAGAGAGGAAATATAGGATGAAACACTGGTTTGAATCGATAGCACGAACACTCTTCTCTGAACGATTTTGAAAAGATGTAACATGCCTATCGTGGGAGCATGGGACTTGTGATGGCTATGCTGTGACTCGTGGCAATGGCACGCTAGAGCTACGTTCTTGTCTTCCAGCCATGCTCTTCTGTCGTTCCTGTTCATGTGCGAGACTCATGTTTCCTGTCCCCTTGTCCCTTCCAATTCTTGGGTAGGAACATGAAAAATTTGTGAAATGCTAGTGACGGACAGTTTGCAACGATGCGGTGAGCGTACGTTTGAGAGGCGTAATATCGTTGACATGTGGGGCTTGGCAGTAATGTTTGGGAAGGCGTGATGAACAAGTGCTAGGTACAGCCTGAGAAAAGCTCGCTCCTTCTTGACAGGGGGAAAACTGTTGTTTGGCCTCTCAAACGATCAGATGCTCCCTGTTTCCTGCACGCTATAATATCAACTTGACGGTACCAGTCTTGGTACTTCCTTCTGCCCATCGCCACTCGTAGTGTTCTACATTCATGTGTTGACGAAGAATAACACGGTGCATACCTTCAGAAGTAAACACAACGAAGCTTTGATTAGTCACATCGACGGAGCTAAAGTCGGTGCAAACCATCTGGTATCTTCTTTCGCCAATCTGGTTGACGATGCGATCTCCAGATCCGCTGAAGAGTCGCTTGCGCCATCCTCTTCTTTCGTGTATAGGCTTTCAGCTCCGGAGTCTATTTCCCTTTGCTTTTCTGTAGCGGCGTACCTCATGTACCGTCGCCTCATCAACCCATCTTCGCATTGGAGAAATCCATCTCAGGATGCTGCTTCTTGAACTGCTCCAAGATATCCGCCTTCTTCTGCTCGTCACTTGTCGGCTTTCCTGCCTCCTTCTGCCTCTGGTCAAACATCATCTTCTCTACCATACCCCGTGTCTCTCCGTCGAGGTCGCCTAGTTTGCTGTTCTCGGGCTGGATCTTGGACGTGTCGATCTTTGGCGCGGTTGTGACTACGTGTGCCCACCACTCGAGCTGGTTCACCTTGTCGAGGTGGATAGAGATTTCCTTCTGCGACCCGACCGAGGCCAGTGTCCAGGTGGAGTCGTCGACGCGGATGGGATGAGGCAGCTCGCCCTGGAGAAGGCGTTAGTCAGCGCAGGCTATTTGCAGACAGGACAGGAAGCGACGAACGTCAATGAAGGGCTCCTGGCCCTTGATGCCGGCCTTGAGCTTGTTGCGGCCGATGTCGACGACCAGGTCCTTTCCCTTGTACTTGGCATCAATGGTGATTGTAATGTCGAGGTCCTTGATGGTCTGGTCCCATTTGTAGGGCAGCGCCGCCTGCTCGGCCAGCTCCTTTGCGCGCGCCTCGGCGTCGGCCTTGTTCTTCTCCTCGGGGGGTGGCGAGGCAGACATGGTGAATGGCTTGGTGGTGTTTTGCAAAGTTTCAGTGTTTGCGAGGGGGAGCGTGGGCGGGACACGATGACGCTCCTCCGCCGATCCATCGTTCGCAGCAGGACCGACGCAAGCGCAAGCTCCACCATGCGCCCTGCTTCACTCACCCTACCCCGGTCCACTCTAATAACGGACATGCTCCTCGGGCCTTGACATCCACGGGTCTAACCTCACTTCTATTGATAACGCGACGTCTCCTATCCTTCCACCCGCGCCGTAATGCTGTCCTAGGAACACCCGAGCTCTCCATTGCGACACATAGCCAGGACACCCGCAACCCACGGTAACACCAACGGCAACACACAGCCAGCGGCCCAACCGGGCAGCGATCTGTCTGAGCGACAGTATCCACAGCAACTCATGGCCAGCTCCTTTGAGAAGAGTGTCAAGGGTGGCACCAAGATCAAGGTAGCTATGCGCCTGCCCACCCTCCTCCCGTTCACGTCATTGGCACTCGTTGCGCCGTCACAGCAAACTGACAAGTCTCGCAGCTCGCAGCACCCAAATCCAAGTATGTCGAACACATCCTCGTCGCGACGCATGCCGGCGAAGCTGGTGTCGCTGAGATCTTCCGCGCCCTTACGAACCGATTGCGCGACTCGACATGGACCATCGTATTCAAGAGCTTGATCATTGTACATCTCATGATAAGAGAGGGAGAGCCCGAGGTTACGCTCAAGTTTCTGGCGCAAAACCCGCACAGAAAGCTGGCCATCAACCATTTTACAGAGGGTATGTCTTGAGATTTCGTCCCAAGCACACGTGTCCAGGCTCATGCACCTCTATCGCGGACACGAATTGGGCAGCAAGCACGCCGCCCAATGTCCTGTGAGTTTGGGCGGATGTGGTTTGGCTTGCGACTAAAAGCGTATACAAAGTGCTAACATTGCGTGCGATAGTACAGACCCAGGGACATAACATCCGGACCTACTCCGAATACCTGCTACGTCGAGCGATCGAATATGGCGCCACCAAAGTCGACTACGTGCGCGGCGGCGAGGGGCGGCTTAAGCGGCTCACTGTAGAAAAAGGCCTTCTTCGTGAGGCAGAGAGTGTGCAGGATCAGATCAGATCATTGCTCAAGTGTCAGGTATGTGCAGCCATGTCCAACCACATCCCTTGCTGGTTTGACTTTGTATAGCCATTCGACGACGAACCAGAAAACGAGATTACCATGACAGCGTTCCGACTGCTCACGATGGATTTATTGGTGCTCTTCCACGTTATGAACGAGGGCACTATCAACATTCTCGGTGGGTTCAGCATACGTACTTGGGTTGCAGTGTACTAATTAGACAGAACACTATTTTGAACTATCCAAACCGGATGCAACGCGTGCCCTGGCAGTATATCGCACATTCGTCAAGCAGACTGAAGCTGTTGTTCAATACCTCAGCCTTGCAAGAGCGCACGAACACTCGACAAGACTGGAGATCCCCAAGATCAAGCATGCTCCTACCAGTCTAGCTGCATCCTTAGAAGAATATCTAAACGATAAGGACTTCGAGATCAACCGACGGCAGTACATCGCCGAGAAGGAAGCCAAGAAGAATGGTGGTAAGCCTACCAATGGCGCCAGCAAACCCATCAATTCGAAGCCCGTAGCTGCATCCTCGAATACTACTAGCAGTCAACCACCAGCGGCGCCGGCGAAACCTTCATCTAGCGCACCTCTAATTGATCTCTTTGCATCACTCGAGGACAACCAACAGACCATGGCCACGCAACCGATGATGCAGCAGTACCCCCAACAAACAGGCTTCCAAGTTCCACAGCAGACTGCGAATATGGGCTTTCCCCAACAGCAGCAGCCCTTTCCGATGCAGAACGGGCAGAGTACCAACCCATTTCAGATGCAACAGCAACCACAGGCGCCGCAGATGCAGGCACCTCAGATCCAACAACAATTTACAGGCGCGGGCTTCGGAGGCTATTCACCGCAGCCTTTTGGCGTGCAGAACACCATGCCATCAATACCACAAGGTGGTATGCCTGATTACTCACAACAGCAGCAGATGCAGATTCCCACAATTGCCGAACCTCTGCAGCCACAACAAACATCAACAAATCCATTTCGACAGTCGATGTTACCTAGTGCCGAGCCCAAGATGCTTACCAGCCCTACCAGCACAGGTTCGCTCAACCGTTCATCCACGAATCCGTTTGCAAAACACAACACTGGGTTTTCACCACAATCGCAATCCCCCGTTAACTCTCCGCCTTACTCAATGTCACCCATCCAAGAATCACCATTTACTTCGATGCAGCAACAGCAACCCATGCAGCCGTTACAACCAACGCCTACAGGCACGAACCCATTTGCACGGCAGCCTTCTCCACAAAGTGCCGCACCTTCACAGGGTGGTTTGACAGTGCATGCGACGGGCAGTACCAATCCCTTCCGACAGAGCGCTTTCGTCAACCAGCAAACAGGTCAAGGCTGGCAAAATGCAGGTTCACAAGGTACAATGGGCGGGATGAGCTTGGACGCAGTACCTACAACAAGTGTCTTCCCACGACCTGGTCAGCAACAACAGCAGAACTTCCTTGGCTAGAATCGAACGGGTTGATGGGTCAGTGATGAGCTTTGGGATCTAAGAGGTCTAAAAGCTAGTTCGCGTGACACGCTTGAAGCTATTATTTTCATTGGAATGGCGTTTTAACTGCCTGCCGCTGTAATTATTACGTACTTGGTTGGACATAATCATGCCGCACTCCCAAAGCTGGGTGTGCGTACATCGGTCGCTATGAAGGAGCGTTGGAAGCCCGCTCAACCTCAGATGCTCGGAGGACAGACTGGGCTGTTTTGTGATAGATCATGTATCTGCGATCTGATAGTTTCGTTGGGCAGCTGGGAGGATTCAAGGAAGGAGGAGCCCCTTGCAAATGCAATACATAATTACTGTCGCACTAACGTGTTATGCTGCTTGTCCTATTTGAATCAACAGTTGACTGTATCTCGAGTGTACGTCTAACTCAAGAGTTGCGTTAGTGGAGGTTACACAACCGCCGCTGCCGTCTTCATGAACGCAGGGGTAATAGAAGCCACGTGCCGACGCGTAACCGTAGATTTAGCGCGACTGCCGTCGGCTTCACTCCGTCAGACTTCAAATCCGCCACAACAACCCCACTCGCTTCAAGTTGCATTATACAAACTGCAGCATGACCACGATCTCTGTCGTCTCTATTACCGACTCTCATGACAGTATTGATAAAGCACGGAGTTGCCCGCTCGCGCTTGCAAATTCGCATCTGCGTCTTCAACGATGAGACCCAACGGGTCTCTTGACGCTCCCATCGTCTTGGATGACGATGAACCGTCTAGCTATGTACCTCGTACTACAGTACGGCGGCGGAATCGTCAGACACTTGAACAAGATGGCATTGAAGAGGTATCCCATGCACGGGAAGCTGCAGCTGAATGGAAGCTAGCTGCCGCGAAGAGACAAGCAAAACAAAGGAATGTGAGGAATCTGGGCAACGACATGTCTGAGAGAGATGGCAATACAAGAGATAGCAATCTTGCAAAACAAGCGAGGGAAAAGACGTCGCCTGCAGAGCCTGCCGGCGTTGCTGACCTTGTAATCAACGAAGAAGCGGCAGCATTAGGAGGGATAACGCAACACGAAGCAAGTACTAGAGATGATCAACTTCCGGCTGATACAACACAAAAGCCGATATCGCAATCTAATACGCATCACGAAGCTGTGCTCCCCCAGCGAGCCAAGCCCCCTGAGCCTGTTCAACAAACCGGTCTGGACCAACCTTTTCTTATGGAATCCTCATATTTAGCTACCTCAGTGTATCGCTCACCATATGGGCCCCAACCGCCAGTCACAAAGCTACCGGAACCAAGCGTGGTACTCTCTGGGGCTGCACAACCTCTTTCCTGGCCGTTGAACATACTGAAAGCGAGGTCAGATCCAAGCGCTACGGCACGTGCAATCGCGGAAACCAACAGACGTGTCATTGAGTCTGCGTACAGCACGAATTCAGCCCTCGCTGCTTCGAGTGACGCGATTGCGCCCGTTTTGAGCCATGTTGAACCTCTACCCATGGAGCCAATCAGGGATGTTGCCGATAATCACCGTGAACGGACCCTCCTCCCTAATCGCGTAAACACGGCTTCTGGGCGCGACCACGCAGGACTGGATGGCGACGACAACAATATGGCAATTCCAGTGACTGCGCAAGCACCCAGCCCGAGCGTGTCAGCAATTCAGAAACTGCCACGGCGGAACAAGAAAGCCATCAAATCAGTGAAACGGAGGAATGATGGATTCTCCAAACCAAGTCTCCCTGTCAGGTTACCGCATCACCTTCCGGGTAATGAGAAAGAGACGCCAGAGGTTCTCTCAGATCGTCCTGATGCAGGCTTGAGCGGCACGAAACTCGCGTCGCCTCTTATAACGCGTCGAAGCCAGAGCAAGGATCCACCAGGTGACATTAACATTCTCTTCGACACCGATCCTGTTTATGTTGAGCAAGAATCTATTCAAACTGAGAGACCCGAAGAACGCAACTTAATTCTAAACCCACTGACATTACTATCTCATCGGGAAACACGAGAAGCTGTACCAGAGCGTGCCCTTAGCACTGCCCTTCCGCTGTCTCGTACCGCTACCCCCACTGTACAGCGTTCAGTTCAGGGATCTGTAGAGCCAGGCGAAGCGTCTAGAGCATTGCCGCCGGGTTCAGATACTATGCCAGCAAACACATCCAACCCAGCATCGTTCGAAGTGATTCAGAGTGGTGAAGCACAGCCCAAAAACACGGGGGTGCTTGGCGGACGTAGTGACGGTCAAGCAAGCACGGCTCTTCAGTTGCAGACAAACGTGCTTATCAATACTCGCTCGGCTGTAGAAGAGTGTTTGAAGCGTCATCTCGCGGAACGACATGAAGAACACGCATACCTGGTCTCGGTTAAGATGTTGCGTCAAAGGACTTTCCAAGAGCAGGAG